CATCATATAAACTGCATATATTTATTTTGTACTTTGGGATATAATTCAGTAATTTATTATTTATTAGGTTGGTGCAAAAGTAAGTGCAGTTTTTGCCATTACTTTTGGCAAAAATCACAATTGCTTTTGCACCAACCTAATACTTTGTTGCTTAAATTGTTCTCATTTTCACCTTTTGGGAGCTCTTTCAGGTTGGACCCAGCTCCTACTCCTGTGTTCTTTGACATGTTATTTATTTTATTTTTTTAAAGGAACACCTCTTCAGTTTCTGGCATTACACGATGCTCCAGGCTCATCTTATATTTTCCCTCTAGCCCTAATATCAGCCATTTTTTCCATAGAGCTCTGTTTTTTTTTGTTTGTTTGTTTGTTTTTTTTTTTTACTGGAGAATGATACTTAGAAATCAAGATTTGGGTGCTAGGTGTGCTCATTGCTCCTGAGAATGATTTTTTTCTATTTGCATAAAGTATATATAGTTTTGTGGGTCTTAACAAATACATAGTCTTTTATGTAACACCCCAATACCATGTGGAACAGTTCCATCACCCCCACTCCTGGGAAACACTGATCTGTTTTTCTGTTCCTATAGTTTTTCCTTTTCCAGAATGTCATTAAATGGAATCATACGATGTATAGCTTTTTGAGTCTGTCTTTTTGTCACATGGCAAAAATGCATTTAAGGCTGGGCATGGTGGCTTATGCCTATAGTCTCAGCATTTTGGCAGGCCAAGGCAGGTGGATCACCCCAGATCAGGAGTTTGAGACCAGCCTGGCCAACATGGCGAAACCTTGTCTCTACTAAAAATACAAAAATTAGCCAGGTGTGGTGGTGGGCGCCTACAATTCTGCTACGTGGGAGGCTGAGGCAGGAGAATCACTTGAACCTGGGAGGTTGCAGTGAGCCAAGATTGTGCTACTGCACTCCAGCCTGGGTAACAGAGCAAGACTCTGGCTCACAAAAAAAAAAAAAAAAATGCATTTAAGATTCCTCCATGTTGTCCATGCTATGTGAAGTAGTAGCTTGTTCCTTTTTTTCCCTAAATTGCAGAGCAACTTTCTGTGGAATGGATATACCTTGGTTTGTTTGTTCATTCCTTTGTTGAAGAACATTTGTTATTTCCTGTTTGGGGCAATTATGAATAATGCTGCTATAAATATTTGTGTTTTTTCAGGTTTTTGCATGAATTGACTGATTGATTGATTGATTGAGATGGAGTTTCGCTCTTATTGCCTAGGCTGGAGTGCAATGGTGTGATCTCAGCTCACTGCAACTTCTACCTCTTGCGTTCAAGCGATTCTCCTGCCTCACCCTCCTGAGTAGCTGGGATTATAGGCGTGTGCCACCACGCCCAGCTAATTTTGTATTTTTAGTATAGACAGCATTTCTCCATGTTGGTCAGGCTGGTCTTGAACTCCCAACCTCAGGTGATCCGCCTGCCTCGGCCTCCTAACATGCTGGGATCATAGGTGTGAGCCACTGTGCCCTGCCACGAAGTTAGTTTTAAATTCACTTGGGCAAATACCTAAATACCCAGAAGTGGAATTGCTAGGCTGTTTGCTAAAAATAGGTTAACTTCTTAAGAAACTGCCAAACTGTCTTCTGAAGTGGCTATACTATTTTATTATACATTCCCATCAACAATGAATGAGAGTTTCTATTGTTCTGCATCCCTGCCACATTTGCTAGTATCAGTTTTCATTTGCATTGTGTCTTCCTTGAGCAAAAATTTTAATTTTGATGAAATCTAACTTACAAACTATTTCTGCATTGATTGTGTTTTTGGTGTCATATGTAAAAATCATTGCCAAACTCAAGATTGGTTTTTTTTTAAAAGCAACTTTATTAAGTTATCATTTACATACTATAAAATTCACCATTTAACGTGTACAGTTCAGTGAGCTTTTTTGGTGTATGTATATTTACAGAGTTGTGCAACCATTACCACAGTTACTTTCACAACATTTTTATCATTTCATAAAGTAACCTCATACCCATTAACAGTTACTCTCCATTTCTCTCCAGGCTTCCAGCCCTAGGCAACCACTAATCTATTTTCTGTTTCTAGAGATCTGCCAACACCCATTAACAATCACTCTTCATTTCTCCCCAGGCTTCCAGCCTTAGGTATCTACTAATCTATTTTCTGTCTCTATAGATTTGTCAACACTTGACCTTTCCTTTAGAAGGAATCATCAATAAAATGGTCTTTTGTGACTGGCTTCTTTGGCTTAGCATGTTTTTATTATTTATCAGTGTTGTAGCATGTGTCAGTATTTCATTCTTTTTAATTGCCAGTAATATTCCATTGTGTGGATATACCACATATTGTTTATCTGCTCATCAATTGATGGACATTTGTATTGGTTCTACTTTTGGCTTTTATGAATAATGCTGCTATGGACATTTGTGTAGAAGTTTTTGTGTAGACATATGCTTTTATTTTTCTTACATAGATACCTAGAAGTAGAATTGGTGGGTCATATGGTAATTCTATGTTTAACATTTTGAGAAACTCCATTGATTTTTGAATATATACTTTTATTATTTTGGAGTAAATATATATGGCTTTTCTATTGTTCCTGAATAGATAAATACAGCATGTGTTTATCTCCATTTTTTTGTATAATGTCATTAAGTGTTTTTAATATTTTAGCAGCATCAAGTACAAGTACAGTCTCTATCCTTAAGGATTGTGGGACATACAATGTAATAGAAGAAACAGACCTATATAAACAATTCCATTTCAGATTGTTAGGTGAAATATAGGGAAATAATGGTATCTCAGAGAAGGGAGTCATACCTTGTGCTTGAGAGGGAATTGGGAATGTCTAAAGAGGAGATAAAAGATTAGATCTTGTTTAATGGTAACTTGGTCAGATAAGGTGGTGGGGGAAGTCATCTTAGGCTAGTGATAACATCTGCCAAGGCACAGAGATATGAAACAGTATGTTTTCTACAGGCAATTGCAAATAACTAGGCATTGCTAGAGCATTGTTGTGGGGAGTATCTTATCTAGAAATACAAGACTGGACAGTCACAAGATCAAAATGTGTTTTTTGTTTTTTGTGGTTTTTTTTGCCATGTTGAGGAATTTGAATTTAGGAGTTTGGATTTTTTAATTTATATTTATTTTTTGTTGGTCTCTTTATTAAACTGGATTACTCTATGTGTATGTGGATGGGTGGATGCATGCATAAGTGCATATGCAGTCAAAATGTGGCATATCTTCTTGGAGCATGATTTTATTTGAACATTTGGACATTTAATCTTCATTAAAACAATCAGATGCTGGGTGCAGTGGCTCATGTCTGTAATCCCAGCACTTTGGGAGGCCGAGGTGGGTAGATCACCTGAGCCCAGGAATTCAAGAATGACCTGGGTAACATGGTGAACGAAACCCTGTCTCTACAAAAATACGAAAATTAGTTGGGCATGGTGGTGTGTGCTTGTAGTCCCAGCTACTTGGGAGGCTGTGGTGAGAGAATTGTTTGAACTCTGAGGTAGAGGTTTTAGTGAGCTGAGATCGCATGACAGAGTGAGACCCTGTCTCAAAAAAAAATCAGATTTTTATGGAATTGGATATAACATTTTGTGAATTTTTCAAATAAGTTTAAATTTTGAGCTTATTAGGTCTGCTTTCACTACTCTAAAAGTATGCAATGTCTTCTGGGCTTCTTTAGGCAAAGTAGCAGTATTCTGGGCAAATGGTATATGGTGTATAATGTTTATTACCGTATTTTATCTATTCTGACATTTAAAAAAGCTTTGAACATATTTGAAATTGGAATGTGTGTTACAATTTCTAGTGATGCATAAAGTAATGTACGTTTTATAATCTAGGATCTTGGGCCAGGCAAAATACATCTTTTTTTTTTTTTTTTTTCCCATTAGAAAAGCAACACAGGGTCATTATAAAAAACTTAAAATATATAGTAAATGTGGCAGAATAGTCTGTAATCTCACCAAACTCAGAGAAGACTGCAGTTATTCTTTTGGCATATTTTCTTCTGGTCTTTAAAAAAAAAGCCGTATCTGTATATCAGTATATAATTATGTTTATAGAAAATCAAATTCATATACTGTATGCAGTTCATTTTTTTGCTCAATATATGCTGAACATAACTGTGTAATTATTCAGCCACATAATTTTAAATGTTACCTAATATTCTTTTATATGTATATGAAATTATTTACCCTTTAAAATTATAAAAACTATTTTATTATAGAAATCTTGGTCCCATATTATATCTCTTTTCCTTAGGATAAATTCCTAGAAGTAGAATTTACTGGGTATAAAGTATGATTTTTATTTATTTTTAATTTAATGTGTGTGTGTGTGTGTGTGTGTGTGTGTGTGTGTGTATATTTTTTTTTTAGTCTGAGTCTTGCTCTGTCGCCCAGATTGGAGTGCAGTGGCCTGATCTCAGTTCACTGCAACCTCCACCTCTTGGGTTCAAGTGATTCTTGTGCCTCAGCCTCCAGAGTAGCTAGGATTACAGGCGCCCACCACCACGCCTGGCTAATTTTTGTATTTTTAGTAGAGTTCACCATGTTGGCCGGGCTGGTCTTCCAACTCCTGACCTTAAGCAATCCATCCATCTCGGCCTCCCGAAGTGCTGTAATTACAGGCATGAGCCACCACACCCAGCCGATTTTTAAGACAGTATTATGAAAAATTGCCCATTTGCTTTCTTGAAAATTAGATTGAAGAGTTCATATATGATTGAAATCTTTTTGAATTATCGGTAACCCGGAAGCTATAAGTTAGCCTTTTTTGCCCTGGCCCTTTTGCTAACTTGTGATCATTTGGAGAATGTTTAACTGTAAACGACTAGCTCTAATGATTAGCTAGGTAGTGGTTGTTAAGACTGTTGTTCCTATTTATGACTCAGTTTGCCTATTTCATTTCTTGCTGAATGTGTTGTATAGTAGTATTTCACTTCTCTGAATCTTAGCTTTCTGCCAGCATCTCCTGGCTCAGTATAGTTGACAATCAGAAATTGCTAAAAGGGTCTAGATGGTAACTAAATCCTATTTGGAAGTTTTAGAATGAATGAGGACTTACCTGATTTGTAATTTTGCAAGTATTATTTTCATAAAACCAATTTTGTGAATAACAGGTTGAAATCTGCCACAGGAAAAGATAGAACAGTTTACGAAGGATTGGAAATGATGAGAAGTTTTTAGTTTTAGATAGGTGGCCAGGATAGGCCTTGCTAATAGGTGGCATTTGAAAAAAAGAGTTGAAGTAGTTGAGGGAGTTAGCCATGTGGATGTCTGAGGGAAGGGAGTAGCATACAGAGTAACAGCCTGTGCAGAGGCCTGAAGGGAGAAGAGTGTACCTGGCCTGTTTGAGGAACAGCAAGGAAGTCAGTATGGCTGAAGAAGATTAAGCAAGGGAGAGAATTGTAGGATGGTATCATAGAGGTAAGGAAATAGGGAGGCTAGGTCATGTCGAGTCTTCTAGGCCATTGTAAAGTCTTGGGCTTTTGCTCTTGGTGAGATGGCAGGACATTAGAGACTTTTAAGCAGAGAAGTGACATGATCTGACTTGTGTTTTAAGAGCATAACCCTGTGTTGGGAATATCACAGGGAAATCAGTTAATAGGCTATTATAGTAATCCAAGTAAGAGATGATGGTGACTTGGTCTAGCATGGCAGCAATGTAGAGGATGAGAAGTTATCAGATTCCAGATAAAGAGAGAGCCAGCATATTTTCCTGAAAGATAGGCTGTGGAGTATAAGAAAAAAAGGAGTCGAGAATGCGCCCTAGAATTTTGTCCTGAGCAAAATTGAACAAAGTGTGGGACTCATAGGTCTAAGTTTTGGGTGAGAATATTTCTTCAGTTTTTGGCACATTAACTTTGAGAAGTGTTTCAAAAGAGGATATATTTTGAAAGTAATTGAATATATAAGTTTAAAGTTTAGAGAGATGTCTAGACGAGACATAAAAATTTGGAAGTTGGTATGTAGACGGTTTTTAAAGCCCACCAGAGAAGTGAGTGCAGATGGAGAAGAAAACACCATCAAGGACTGAGCCTTGGAATGCTCCAATTTTAAGAAATCTGAGCGAAGAGGAGGAAACAGCCAAGGCAACTGGGAACTACTGAGGTTAAAAAATAAAATCTTCAGTATTATTGGAACAATGTTATGTCCTGAAAGTCAAGTAAAGAATGTGTATCAGAAGAGAGTCATCAGATGGTTAAAGCCGCTGATGTATCAAGATGAGGACTGAGAATTGGTCATTGGATTTAGCAACATGGTGCTCATTTGTGACTTTGACAAGTAGTTTTGAAAGAAAGGTGAGAGCCAGAGCTGACCTGAAGTGGGTTTTAGAGCAAATAGGAGAAAAGATTTAGTCACAGAGAGTATAGACAACTTTTGAGAAATTTTGCTGCAGTGGGGAGTTGAGTAGTGGGACTGTAGCTGCTGAGAGAAATGGGATTAAGAGATTTTTGTTGTTGTTGTTTCTTAAAGATGGGAGAGAAAACAGCTTGGTGGGATCCATTTAAGAATGGGAAAGCTTAGTAATAGAGGAGAAAGGGAGAATTACTTTAGCAATGTCCTTGAACTACAGTAATGAAAAAGAATAACAAGTAGAGCACGAGTGGAGGGTTTGACTGAAGATAGGAGTAGTCTCCCATAGTAAAAGATGAAAAGACAAACATGCTTGTACATGCTGATAGTTAAGTGTATAAGTGGTGGTAAATCAGTGGCAGTTTTCTTCTGATTGTTTCATTTGTTTCAGGGTAGTAGCCAACAAGATCATTATCTGTGAATGAGGATCAGTAGGAGAGTTGTGAGAGTTGTGTGAAGAAAGAAGAAAACTTGAAATATGTCTCTAGGAGAGTGGGAGAGTGGCTAGAAATTTAGGATTGCCAAGTAGAGCTAAAGGCTAGCTTGATGTTTGTGATTATGAATTTTAAAATAGGATCAATCATTGTGATTTTATGTATTTATTGCGACATATTCAACTGCATGGGTGCTGACAGAGAGTAGTTGGAGAGTTGGATTTAACTGTAATAGGATTGTCATTTTGTCGAGCTAAGTAAGGTGGAGCAGAAGAGAACTCATGACATTAAAGGTATATGCAAGTGAGTGATGATAATAATTGACCATGTAATTTAAGCTGGGTAGGTAGGACAGAGAGGCTATCAGTACAATGAGGAAAAGTATGGATGGAGTAGGATCAATGTATTGGAGGTCCTGGTGGGGTTGGGGTGTTGTTGGAGTTAAGATACTAGAGGAACTAAGCAGGAAAGCTATAAGAGAGTAATAGACAGTGTAAGTTTTCTTATTGAAATTGTGGGAAGATTATAATTACTAGTAATGACAGGGTCTACTATGTGACCATGGAAATGAGTGACCAAGGTAATGTAAAGGTGGAGGACAAAATCATTGACGGAGAGAAGTATAGGTGTTGAGAGGCCAGTACTGTAAGCATTATCTGTGGGTATATTAAAGTTACTAATAATTAAAACAGGAGAATATTGGAGAGAAGTTTGATAAATCAGGAAGTAAAATTGTCTAGCAACGAGATATGGTGACCTCTGAGAGTCAGTGGATTACAGCAACAATGAGAGGTGAGAAATACAACCTAAAACAATGAAAATCAAAGCTGGCAGATTTAGGGGTGGGGATGTGGAGATAGCAGTGGAGTTCATCTATTCCACTTTCAGGGTCAATAGTCTAAGGCCTGGGGAAAAGTAAAGGTTCCCACTTGAGAGCTGTAGGGAAGCAGTGTCCTCTGAGGGCTGCTGGGTTTTATCAGAGCAGGAGTTGGTGAACTACAGCCCACAGGCCAAATCTGACCCACCACTATGGCTCATGAGCTAAGCATATTTTTTTTTTTAAATAATTTTTAAAAAGTCAGAAGAATAATACATCATGAATGTGAAATAATATGAAAATCAGATTTTAATGTTCATAAGTAAAGTTTTCTTGGGATGTTGCCACACTTTTGTTCTACAACAGCTAAGCTGAGTAACTACAACAGAGACCATATGTAATGCTCTCCTTGCTTCACACTGCCACTCAGCACAGCAGAAATCACAGTGATGCTGTTACAGCTTGACAGTTTTGAGTGCTATATGTACCACCATACCAAAACATTTTATTTATTTTTTATTACCAGTGCATATACCTCGTGTTAAAGCAAGAAGAGAAAAGTATACTTCAAATGTTGTCCTTTTTTGTCCTCCCCTAAGAATCTGTTGCACAGATAGGAGTGCAGTGACATGTTCATAGCTCACTGCAGCCTCGAACTCCTGGGCTCAAGCAGTCCTCCTGCCTCAGCCTCCCAAGTAGCTGGGACGACAGATGCATGCCACCATGGGCCTGGCTAATTTTTAAATTTTTTGTAGAGACGAGTCTTGCTATGTTGTCCAGGCTGATGTGAAACTCCTGGCCGTGGGCAATCCTTCTTCCTCTGTCTCCCAGAGCACTGGCATTACAGGTGTGAGCCATCATGCCCATCCCAGATGTCCTTTTGCAGCACAATGGAGTAAGGATTATTTTTATCAAGTTAGGTGGCAAAGCATTTTAAAAAAAATTATGCAGAGACAGTATAGCTGTGCTAAAGGATTATGGTATACATTGGGCATTCCCAGACTAAGCACTCAGTAAGATCTTCCTCATAGGACAGTAGCACTCAGAAAAAAATAGAATGTTTAAAACAGAGTATCTCATCCCAATAGAATTTCTTCATAAAGAAAAATGATCATAAGAAACACAGACTTAAAAAAAAAAAAAGAGGCTGCAGTGTTATGTAGTGTACCAGTGGCTTATTCATTAGCCAAGCAGAGAGAGCTGTTCAGTGATGGTCTGTGATTGCAGCAGCCAAACAAATGTTTACAGAGAGAAAAACTTGCCTAAGACTGTTAGCCTTTTTTTTTTTTTTTTTTTTTGAGACGGAGTTTCGCTCTTGTTACCCAGGCTGGAGTGCAATGGCGCGATCTCAGCTCACCGCAACCTCCGCCTCCTGGGTTCAGGCAATTCTCCTGCCTCAGCCTCCTGAGTAGCTGGGATTACAGGCACGCGCCACCATGCCCAGCTAATTTTTTGTATTTTTAGTAGAGACGGGGTTTCACCATGTTGACCAGGATGGTCTCGATCTCTTGACCTCGTAATCCACCCGCCTCAGCCTCCCAAAGTGCTGGGATTACAGGCTTGAGCCACCATGCCCGGCCTAAGACTGTTAGCCTTTAAGGAAGAATGGCTGCTCAAAGAATTGAGGGCATTGGGAGTAGTATCAGTAGTCAATTAAAAAAAAACAATTTTGAGTTGTTTTCCTTGACTTGTGTTTGTTTGAGGAATCAATGCAGAGTTTGAAGTGACTGAAGAATTAGCCTATATATATAGTCTGTGCTTACAGACTTGGGAAAGCTTGGTCTTATTTTCTAGAGAATATGTATAACAATGTGAAATTAAGTTACATATTTATTTGTGTACTTATTATTTTTCTTTAGAGCAGCAGTCCCCAACATTTTTGGTACAGGGACCAGTTTTGTGGAAGACAATGGACAGGGTGGGGGTTGAAGGGTGGCGGACAGGATGGTTTCATGAAACTTCCGCCTCAGATCATCAGGCATTAGATTCTCATAAGGAGTGTGCAACCTAGATTCCTTGCATGTGCAGTTCACAGTAGGGTTCATGCTCCTGTAAGAATCTAATGCCACCGCTGATCTGGCAGGAGGTGGAGCTCAGATGTTAATGCTTGCTCACCCACTGCTCTCCTCCTGCTGTACAGCCCAGTTCCTAAAAGGCCATGAGCCAGTACAGGTCTGCCCAGTGGTTGGGGACCCCTGTTGTAGTGCACGCATTGTTTTCTGTCTCAATTAAGCCATATGCCTACAAAGATTAGGCTATATAGTACCCGTATACGAGGAGTGGATCTCCTACATGACTACTTTACAATAGATAGGCTTCTGTTTAGGATCCTGAGTCTTGAGTGGGTGTGAATACATAGTCCTGAGTGTTTGGGAAACTAAAGTCTAATGCTTTTACCAGTAAGTTCTTGATTAGTTCTAGGTTGGACCCTTGGTGAGATGAACCAGGAAAATTAGAGCCATAGAAACTCAGTTTGATTGAAAGCCATCCAACAGAGACATTTATACTTATTAGCATGTAAACCTGCATTAGGACAAGCTAAAATCCAAGGCAGTAGAACATAGAAAGATCTTTTAGATTTCCAATGACTTAAAGCCTATTTATGGCTTGAAACCTCATATAGCTAGAGCCAAGAGTCTTTTCTCAGCCCCACAGGCTATTACCCAGGTTCAGAACTTTCTGTCTCATCTGGGATATTATAATACTCTTAAAATTCTCCCCACCTCCTGTCTTGCCTTTATTGAATTCATCTTCTACAAATTCCCTAGTGTAGTTTTTCTGAAGTGTAAGTTTGACTATGTTGTTTTATCCACTGTAATTCCTTTCATGGGTACCTTCCCGTAGTAGTGGTACTTCTCAGTTCCCAGCAGATTCCAAAGGATTCCTCAAGGGCTATATTATGGAAGAGCCTAAAGTAGATGAGGCTCTATCTCTTGTCTGACACCTTTAACCCCCTTTAGAACAGAGCAGTTTCTTTGATCTATTTTATAGAGCGAGCTACTTTAAACTTTAATGCGAAAACAGTTTTTGATACTTAAATAATAATTTTGTTAATATAATTACTGGCTGACAGGTAAAGTTCAAGCGCCTGAACTTATTTGGGTCTTTCCAGCCTCTTCTGTCAGTCTTTACTACAAACTTGATACTCCAGCAACAAAGAACTTAGATACGGTTCCACTATGCTTAGTTTACGTTGCTTGTCTGCCTATTTTGTTTGTTTGTTCTTTCTTTTTTTGAGACAGGGTCTTGCTCTGTCGCCCAGGCTGGCGTGCACTGGTGTGATCTCGGCTCACTGCAGTCTTCACCTCCTGGGTCTAGGCGATCCTACCATCTCAGCTTCCTGAGTAGCTCGTAGTACAGGGAACTGCCACTGTGCCCAGCTAATTTTTTAAAAAAATACTTTTTTAGAGACAGGGATTCATCGTGTTTCCCAGGTTGGTCTTGAACTCCTGGAATCATGCAATCTGCCTGCCTTAGCTTCCCAAAGTGTTGAGATTACAGGTATGAGCCACCATGCCCGGCCTGTTCTTTCTTTCATTCTCTGTCCCCTAGCTAATGACTACTATTCAGTTTAGACTTGTTTCAGGTACCATCATCTCCAGAAAGTCTTCCTAGCTATCTCTCACCCTAGCGGGCCTTGGTTAGGTGTCCTCCTTAGGACTCAAAACACTCTATGCTTGTTTTCCTTATTACATTTTTTTGAAATTATTTTCATTGTTTGTTTCTGTTTCATTTACTAGAGTTTGAACTCCTAAAGGTAGGAACTACTTTTTAAAGTTACCTTTATTTATCTCCAATGTCGTACAGCCCGATGTGTGGGAGATACAAATATTTGTGCAGTGAATTAATTGATTTCTTGCAGTGGATATTAAAATTAAATATACTTATAAACTGTATAAATTTGCTCTCTGTTGCATGTATTTATTGGTCATAAAATACACAAACACTTGAGTTTAAATGTACATTTGAAAAGAAAAACAAGAATATTAATGCAGCTCTTGTTAGGAACTAGAACTGAAGTTTAATAGCTGTTCTGTATTTTGTACAACTCTGAAATGTGAAGCTTTTCCATGTAATCTCATGCCAGTGTTGACCCATGTGGATTAAAATAGCCCTATTTTAATCTGTGACCAAATTAGGAATTAGAATATCTGTCCAGTGGGGATTTGTGAATTATTATAGTTTATAGTATGACAGGTTTATATAAATAATTGCAGTAATTTTTCACTGTGTGTTTCAAGTTAAAATCTAGGTTCAAATAGAGAAATGTAATGATAGAAATATTAAAGATTGCCAGTTGGAAAATTTAACTGATTTTTTTTTTTTAGTGTGTTTGCCTTTAATACCTTAAATTACGTCTTTTTTTAAAGGATCACTAAAACTGACCCTATGAAAAGAAAATTTTATTCCAGTATTAATCTAAAATATCTATTCACATTTCCTAAATTCCGATTTGATGTGTACTTAAAATACTAGGAACTAATTAGCTAATTATTCTCAGGTTTTGTTTGTAGTGTAATATTTGTTTTTAAAACATTCTATTAAGTCATATTTTAAAAACCCTTTAGTAGCTATAATGAAGTTATTCTGGAATTTATTTTAAAAAATCTTAGCACGTTGAACATTTATTTTATAGCTTCAGGTTTTACCATATTTTCAAGTAATTCTTAATTAAGTTTGTTGTTTTTCATTGTGTTTCTCAAGAACTCGAATGTAAATAAGTAGTGGTAGTTATAATGTTTTAGTGATTTAAAATGATAAACTTTTCTTTTCATACAGATAAAGACACAATAAATAAAATTAGAGATTTACGAATGAAAGCTGAAGATTATGAAGTAGTGAAGGTGATTGGTAGAGGTGCATTTGGAGAAGTTCAATTGGTAGGTTATTTTAATGAGATTACAAAAGGACTTTATTAAATTAAAATAATCCACTTGTGTGTTTAACATATTATTTGGGAAAATATTGTTTTTATAGAATTCTTAAGTTTCTTTAGACATTGTTGCCTAAGGGTATGAAAGCCTAGTGTCAAACCCAGCCATAGTGGGAAGTGTTTTCCCAAAGTATCTATGGCAGAGAAGAAATCTCAAGCATCTGAAGATAAATCTTTTCTCCTAATATTAGACTAAAATGCTATAGAAATAATAAGCTTTATAAACAGGAAGCAGCTTAAAATAGCAGGGTGGGGGGTAAACGTATCTTATAGGAAATAAAGATTGTTGTAAAACATTACTTCCGATAATTAAAGTCGACATTAGCTACTTGGAATAATTTGGCAGAAGCGAAGAAATAAAAATAGCTAAAACAATAAGGTTAAATTATTTAACAGGTATTAAAAGTGCTTAGTAAATTGTTCTGTGAAACCTTGAGCTTTAACTGTTAACAAAAGGTTCATTATTTTCCATTTTCAATTTTAAAGGTAAGGCATAAATCCACCAGGAAGGTATATGCTATGAAGCTTCTCAGCAAATTTGAAATGATTAAGAGATCTGATTCTGCTTTTTTCTGGGAAGAAAGGGACATCATGGCTTTTGCTAACAGTCCTTGGGTTGTTCAGGTATGATTTTGCTACTCTTTCATTATTGCTATATTAGTTTGTAACTGAACATCTGAGAAGCTTAGTTTTTTAGAATAGTAATAGAGAATTTACTGGCAGTTACAAAGTTGTCTAATTACCTTTTAAATCTTAAAATTTAATTTTATTGAATCATTTCTAGAAAGAAAGGCCAAAACAGAATAATTATGTTTCTGTAGAATTTATATGTAGAAAATTTAATTTAAATGTAGAATTTGGGCTGGGCATGTTGGCTTATGCCTATAATCTCAATATTTTGGGAGAACAAGGCAGGAAGATCATTTAAACCC